ATGTCGAAATTGTAAAGAATAGTTAATATATTTTTATTTTATTATCTAGCCATTAGTAAATTATTTAATGAGGTGATAATTATCTCTTATATGGTAAATTATTTTAATTTAAAAATTTATTTATTTTTATATAATTAAATAAAGGTTAAAAAATATTATCAAAAAATTTTTAATTCACCAACTTGATTTCGCGTAATTAGGTAGAAGGAGAAAATTATTTAACATGTTAGATCGTTTATAAATATTTTAGGATGAACGTCAACATGTTTGGAAAAAAAAATAATAATATGGTTAAGACTTAAAATTTGTTTTTATGTTTATGTTGACCAAAATATTATCAACATGAATCAAAGAAAATCAAATTAGAGTTTATTATAATGGATATCAATAAAATTATTGCAGATGTTAACAAAATTATTCAAGGAAATAATCTTTTCGATCATATCTAATTAGAAAATGTGTATATGAAAGCAATTAATGCATATATTTTACAAGTTTCCAAAGAAAATATGCATTAAATGCTCCCAGATTTTTTTGCTACTATTTTTAGTAAATGATTATTCTCTTTATATATATACAGATTCATGAAAAAAAAAATATGAACTAAGAAAATGATTCTAAATATTATTAAGCGTTTCTTTATATACAACATTCATGGTTTCATATCGAAATCACTATCACCATATATCATTATCTTCAAACCCTTCCGATTTGTGATACTAGAAAGAGCAATTTACAACTGTCCATGACTGAAAGCAGGGTTCATCAAGACTAAGCTGACGTGTGAGAGAGACTGGTCTTGACTCTTGTTGATTGTCATAGCATAGGAGACCATGATAGGAAATGGTCTCCGCTGAAACTTGAACGGTACCCTCAAACAAATAAGGAATAATAAAATGTGTGCCGAATTTATTATAATTGTCATGAAATATAAACATTTGAGTCGAAATTATATACTCCATCTTATTCATAATAAGTGTCGTTTTAAGAAGTTGCACAGTAATTAAGAATATTTATTTTGCCAATAATAACCCTATTTAATGAAGATAGAGATGGATGTTTTGGGAAATAATGAAGAGGGAATATGAAAACGCATAGTGTATTTATTAGTTAAATGAGGGTAATAATGGAAAAATATGTACAAAATATCCAAAACGTCATTTATTTGGTTAATAGTTGATAATGCCAAAATAACATTTAAAAAGAACAGGAGGTACTGAGGTAGTACTAAACAAATAATTACATTATAAACAATTGTTGAATTGGATAGGATAACATATTAAAAAATGTGGTGAATTGAGCTTAATTTTTTATTAAAAGAAATTGTAAAGCTGACTTTGCCCAATATTCTCAGTAAGGCTATTTGTTTATTGAGCCCGATTCGGTAAAGCCCTAAGAAACAATTTTCAAATTGAACCCAATACACATTTTTTTAACAAAAAAAAAAAAAAAAAAAACAGAATCATGTAATTGGTATGACCGGTTACCAAAAAAAGGGTTACAAAACCCTCGACTTAAATAATCCGAATACTCCATGATTCAAGCTCATTTCTCTCTTGTTATCTGCAGATCACGCGTTTTTTTAGTCTTTAAAAAATATACATTATCTCATTTTTCTTATCAATATTTGCCATAATCATGCTATTTTCTTTGTTTTTCCGGCGAGATATTCCAATCAAATTCTAAAATTTTTCAAAAAATCAAATATTTCAAACAAAACTGAGATCTAACATCAAAATCATTCCGATTTTGTAATTCCAATTTACTAAATCATAGTAAAACAGTTCAAATCGGCCGATTACATAACAGATCTATCAAGATCTGAATTTTTTTATTTCGATTTAAGGCTGTCATCCCTATTTTGGTAAAATGCTTCAATGAATCATAAGAAAATAGTTCCATCGGGCGGTTAAAGTACAGATCTATCAAGATCTGTAATCTTTGTTAAGAATTTATGATTTTTTATTTTTTTGTAAAACCGTGTTTTCAATTAATTTCATAAGTCGATTTGATATTTTTTGTTTTTATTTTAAGTTGTCGTCCCTATTTTGCTAACATACTTCAATGAATTATAAAAAAATGGTTCAATAGGGCGATTATAGGTTGGATCTATCAAAATTTGTAATGTCTGTTGAGAATATATGTAATATTTTTAGCCGTGATTTCAGTTGATTTCTGAAGTAGATTAGATATAAAATCTTATTTTAGTGTTTGTTTTGTTGTTTTCTTTAAATTTTTTTGAAATATCTACACAATTTGATTTTTTTTGGACAACACATAGATTTGTTTTTGCAAAAAAATGAACGGATATTATTATATTTAAAGATGTTTTTATGGTTTTCTGAAAAATATACATGTTGTTTAGTTTCAACAGTCGATCTGCATATAAATATGAGTCGTATGTTCAGTTTTCAAAATAATAATAAAAAAATATCTTTAAGCACACCTTATTTCTACTCGCAAAATTGTTCAAAAATAGTTTTGATATTCATTTAAGTTGATTATTAAATATATTACTTTAATTTTAAGNAACAACAAAATTCATCAAGATTAGATTTTTTTCAGCTAAACAAACAAAAAAAGCTAAATTATTTAACTTATATAAATAACAAATAAGAAAAAAGGGTAATTATTTGCCTTCTTAAACTCTATGAGAAAATAAGAGAAATGGTAATTACAACAAAACCAATGACTTATATGGGGATAATATAATTATATGCAGTATAATATAATTAAATAAGAGAAATGATAACTGTTTTTGGCGGGAATTGAAAAGAATAAAATTAAATGCTGAAATTTTAGGCGTGATAATATAATTAAATGCATGACAATAAAATTAAATGATGTTGCTCCAAGCTGGTTCAAATTAAAACTAGTCCTGGTGTGAGAACCGTGAGAACCGTTTTTTATGCTATTTTTAATTGTGTATGATGCTATTTTTCATATTAGATGATGCTATTATTTTTACAAGTGCTACCAGAAATTGTGTTGCTATTTTTAATAAAATTTATCCTAGTTAAAAATAGCATCAAATACAATCAATCATAGCACTACGCCCCAATAAAAATAGCGGTTCTCACGGTTCTCACATTAAGACTTGGTTCTCATTTGAACCACATCCTATATATATATATATATACAACTAATAATGAAAAAAATTAAAATTTATTGTAAAATAAAAATTTTAAATAATTAATAATAAATGAAAAGAATTGTGATATTATTTTGGATTCTAGAAAATATTTTGTGTAAAATATTATGTATTTTACTTAAGATATATCTATTTTTTTGAAAATTAAATAGAGTAATTAATTTTTTCTACTGTTAGCATAGGTTGATGGTGTTGGATTTTCGACGTACGAGTCAATCGCACGCACAGCGGAATTTTAAATTTTCTGACCAACAAGGAAGATCCAGTTATAGCTATTCAATATGATACTAGATCGACGAGAACTTACAGTTTAAGTTTTACCTTCAACTATGGTATCCACGCAATCCAGATCCCGGTGCATGATCCAACGCAATGAATCCTTTCTGGTGAAGACACAAGGAATCCTCAATCAGAAAGCCAGAGAGTGTTTTTGTTCTTAAGACGTATTTCTTTTCTCTCATCTAATGATTGTTAAAGACTACAATGAGATAATGACCTATTAATAATTAGGTCAAACCTAAATATATGGGCCTTAGGAATCCTATAGCCCAATAGGTAATTGGACCTAATACTTTTAATGATTTAATTAAGTATAAGTCCAATTTAACTTAATTAATATTTTCTGTCTAACATAAAATAATTTCATTACTCAAAAATAAATATTCCAATCTAATTGAATATTTAACACTCGCGATTCACTCTTAGCCGGAAAATAGATTGCATATTGTGTGACCCTATAGGCGTTCATATATTGACATAAATCTAATTTATGATCCTTACGAAACTCCTAGACTGCGTCGAAGGACGAACTCAAAATATGAAATACGTTTACATAGACAAAGCAAACAAACCTTTAGTGTATAATTCAATAGTAATACGGTCCCTTCATTCACGAACTACTCGATTAAGCTTAGGACTTGAACACGTGTCTATCCAAACAACTTAATCATTTTATCTCATCTCACTGGTTGATTTTATCAATTATATTTTAATACAATTTCAAATATAATCACATGCATTGGCCAATGACTTTATCAACTCAGTATAGAGAAAACGAGTGTTCTCTCGAACCCATATTCGAGGAATGAATCATATCTTGGCTCAACTACCAATTCCATGTATATCGTGACCAATCCAACACAAGCCCGTATCTACCCATAAGGGCGTAAGCTTTGGACTAGGTCTAAGTAAATCACTCTATACAAGAATTGCGTATTGACCTCAAGTCAAAGGGCTATTACACCATTATACACACCGATACTCCCATAGACATATAAACAAATGGTTTATCGGTAGGGTATACCAATACTCTCTAAAGTATCCATGTGTCCATCACGAATAACATAGCAGTGAGACATACTATATTCTCCAAGAATGTGATGCAGACCACATGTCAATCTATCGCGTATCATTAATATCCCTTTCTTAATGATCATCGATTGAGGCGATTTGAGAGTTATACTTTATCAATTAACATCTCACTCTGTTAATGACAGTATTAACTCAAGGGAGCAATTAATTTATAAATTGCAAACAATCAAACAATTATTTAATTAATTACAACACCATAATTATAATCTAATATAATTATTAATGTGAGCATCTATTTATGTCCTCAAAAAGATTGTCTATAGGACACATATACCAACAGATGAAGAATATATGAAATAAAAGATATGAAAAAGGAAAGTAAAAAATGTAAGAAACATAAAAAATATTCATTTTCGGATTTAATTTATGTAACGTATTATTAAAATATATTGTTGTATTATAAGTTAGTGTGCAGCTTAAAGTTACATTAAGTATATGAGGTGGCAACAATTAATTGGATTGGAAATTGAGGGAGATGAAAATTTTGAGGCCACCCACCACCCATTGTTTGTGAAGATTAGAAGCAAGGGAGAGCCACAAAACAAAAGCAGCGCCACGCGGCTGTCTTCTTAATAATTAGCCATTGTGCATTTTGTAGTCTCTCTCTCTCTCTGTCTCTTGTTTGATATAATGGTGGTTCTAAGCAGTTTCCAGACAATGAAATACCCATCAGTGAGGCAAAGGCATGGCAAGTTGATGGGAATCCGATGCGGAGTGCCGGCCGAGAAGACGCAGTACAAAGACGGGGTTTTGGAGAGGGCATTTATGGGTCTGTTTGCAAAGAAGATGGAGAAATTTGGGAAAAGAGGAGATGATGATGATGAGAAGAAGAAAAAGTGGATATTTGATTACGATTACGAGTCTTTTGTTGAGGTGTCGAGAGGAGTGATGATGGGAAGGTCGCGGGCGCAGCAGCAGCAGCTCGTGCGTCAGGTGCTCCTCTCCATGCTACCTCCTCAAGCTCCTGCTCAGGTCACTCACTCCCAACTAAATATATATCACATTTACTTTTTCTATTTCATTATTTTAATTTAGGAAAATGCTACAATCCCGTTACGGAACCATTTCGTTGAGATTTGTAACTGTAGATCATCATGTAACCGTCGTGTCGTGGATAGTTGATCTAACGGTTATCAATCCCGACGGAATCTCCCTTTATCCACAATAAATACTTGGATCAACTATCCCACCAAAAACTAATATGAAAATTGTTCTTCAGTTCAGAAAATTGTTTCCACCCACAAAATGGGCTGCAGAGTTCAATGCGGCATTAACAGTACCTTTCTTCAACTGGTTAGTTGGGCCTTCTCAGGTACACTATATATATATATATATATATATATATATATATAAGTTCGGTTCATCAATGTCGGTATCTCAGTCACAGATTGATGTTGTCCTCAAAATAAGTTTTCGCGGATTCTTAAATTGAAGACCGAAATATGTTATGTTCTAATTAGTGTACTCGAAATCACAATAAATATTGCAATGTTAAAATTACACAACTACGAGTCTACGACTTGTTTTTTGCTTTTTACTCTGGTTTACCTGAGATGTGGGTCTTCAGTAGGTTATCGAAGTGGAAGTCAACGGAGTGAGGCAAAAAAGTGGGGTCCTTATAAAGAAATGCCGGTCCGTACTAGTTACAACAATCTTTAAATTTAGCTTATGAGTGTATCTATATTATATATATCATCCTTTAATTTTACTCATTAATTAATTACTAGTCGTGGTATTTGTATTTCTTGCTAGTTCCAATATTGTGTTGAGTGCTATCTGTTCTGATATATATGGATTTAGGTATCTGGAGAACAGTGGGTGTGTGGGAATGTGTGTTAACATGTGCAAAATACCCACACAAGACTTCTTCACCAACGAGTTTGGACTTCCATTAACGATGACCCCAAGTATGTCATAAATAAGATTAAAATATATGTATGTATATATTTATTATGAGAATGCAAGTTATTTTGATTGGATGTCTTACGTCGTGCAGATTTTGAAGACATGAGCTGCGAGATGGTGTATGGGCGAATTCCTCCAAAGTTTGAGGATGATCCAGCATCCAAACAGCCTTGCTTAGCCCATTTTTGTAAGTCAGTCTTTTGTGTTTGCGCAACAAGTCTTTGCAATTTGAACGTCATGCCACTGCTACTCTACAGGCTCTATCGCGCAACCTAATTCAACCATCTGTCCTAAACTACAAGCATGAAAGCATACAACAAGCTAAGTCCTTGTGTTGTGGACAATCTTTTGGCACGCACCTCACGTGACAAGGAAGGAATCACACAAAAAATAGCCCACAAAGTTCCCCCGTTGGAAGTATGAGGGTCATCACCTAACTAATATAATTACACAAAAAAATACTACAGTACTAAAACTACATTTACATTTATTCAAGTATTTGAACTATGTTCAACAATCAAAATTCTCATCAGAGATCACTTTTTTTATTTTCTACGCTCCATATTCCGGATTTTTTTTTTTTTTTTTNAGAGATCTCCTGCAAATTAGTGAAAACTCAGATCCACAAGAAGACGCCAAAAAGAGCTTCAATACTAAACAATATTTATTAGAAACTCCTCCTCATTCTAAACCAACAATATAACAGAAACACCATTTCAGACTAGTAGAAATACAACCTACACCAGGAAGCAGTGTGCACTCAAGCAAAGTATGAACTTTTTTATTGAAAATATATGATTCCTACTTCACGTCAGAAGACCTGTAAACAGACATACTTCTTAAGATAAAAACAGTCAAAAATTGATAATCTTCTGGACCTTCTGTATCTGTTCAGTGATAGGAATTATATACTTCAACCTAGTGCAGGCGGTATTTTTTTCAATCACATCCCATAGTTCTTTTCCTGGCCTATTTAGAAGAGCTGCTATAAAAAGCCGTCAATAATCTCACAAATAGACCTAAACGTAGGCCAAACCAGACAAATATAGTCATGCCTATCATTGCAGTAAATACTGCCCACCAGACACTGCACCATTGCAGTTTTTTGAAAATAGTTAAAATAAGGTCTTGATGTCGTGGCAAAAGGAATATCAAATTCTCCAAGCGGCAACTTAACTTGCTGCTGTTAAAGACATTTTTTTCCTTCCCCCCAATTTATCCAAGAAATTCTGTTAGCGAGCTGAGTAGGGAACCTCATTTTTCTCAAATTTCCTCAAACCCTAAAGTCGTTATCTTTGTCAAGATGTGTAGAAGTTGGCGCATTTGCTCAAACTCCTTTTGCCCAAGTATACCAACAGGTCCCCAAGTTAACATCTTTTTTTTCTTTAAACAGTCAAATCATATGCTCGAGCATGGGATGGTGCTTCTTCAGTAAGCCTTTTAAGACCAGCAGCAGATAAGCCGACCATCTCAAAAGGCGAAAGGGGGAAGATGATGACAAGGCGCTATGGATCTCGCTTTCCCAACACACCCAAAGCAGCATTTTGCTTATTATTTTGATTGCTATTATGTTGCAAAATATCCCGAGATTTGTCACTAGGCGGATCAAAATCATCAGATGGATTTTCTGGTCCTAGCCTTAATGTCCGATGACTTCCGTTCCTGGTGATGCTTGTTACATTCAACTTTTCCTCATCTTCTGACGGCGTTCCAGACCGTGATTCCAATTGCTGATCATGTGATCTATATCTTTGCCCAGGTCTCAACCCCCTTGCACCAGAAATCTTTGGAAACGTACCATAAGTAGATGACTCGGGAACAAAGTCTTTCGGCAGAGAATCCATGTCCAAATAACAGTTTCTTGCCTTAGCATCAGCAATTAATGCAGCCCAGTCTTCAGATTGGACCAGTGCATTTGCATTTCCCATGACCTAAAAGTAGATAAAGACAAATAATTCAAACACAATTTATAGATGTAAATATTAACTGAGGTGTTATAATAAAAGTCATATATACAGGAAAATTAAAGAATGTAAGTCGTCCTCACCCAGAGAGCTCTCCTGGCACGAGTAAGAGCAACATTCATCCTACGAATATCGGCAACAAACCCAACCCCATGATTTGATGCACGCACACATGACATTATAATCACATCCCGTTCCTGGCCCTGGAAAGCATCAACCGTGTTAATATAAATGTCTTTCCCTTGGTCGGAATTCAAAACGTCCTTGAACTCCCGTTGCAGGCATTTCAACTGCAGCTTGTACGGCGTGATTATCCCAACAGTCACTTTCCCAATCCCGTTCGACTTCACCGTCCGCTGTAAGTGCTCGAACAAACGCACACAAAACTGCGCCTCCTGCGTATTCTGGAATGACACAGATCCCCCCCTATGAGATTCCCTACCGTAGGTAACATCATAAAACACATACGGCCTCAGCAGAGGATCTTTGTAATAAAGCTCGTCCGGAAGATTAACCACGCTCTCACTATCCGTAAGACGGCCTTGGTAGAAATACCTCGAAGGAAAATCGCGTATATGTGGGTGCATCCTGTACTGCACGCACAGCAGCATGGTCGGGCACCCCGCCAGCTGGAACCTCTCGAAAAGGCTTCTGCTGTACAACAAAGTCCCGGCCGCCTTACTAATCACAGTAGCCGGGAGCTGCTGAGGATCCCCAACAAGGACACAACGGGCAGCGCCGAGAGAAAGCGGAGGAAGCACCGCCACCTCACTGGCCTGCGCCGCCTCGTCTATCACAACCATGTCGAAGCCGTGAGTCAGACGCGAGAAGAGCTTACGCCCGCTGCTTGACACTGTCGTGAACACGATTTCGGCCTCGTTCGCAAAACTCGCCTCCAGATTCGCACGAGCATCTTCCAGATTAAAGTTGGCACCCGCGCGGAACTTACCTTCCAAGATGAGCAGCCGAGACATCTCCACAAGTATCTTGTCCCGGTTCTCGACTACGGCCGCTAAGTTCTGAAGCAACGCGTCTCGGTTTTGGTCCCTCGCCATGAGGACGTCCGGGTCGACGCCAACCGAGCCCTGAGCACGTCCGCTCAAGGCAGCAACATTGAGTTCTCTCTGAAGGCAAGCGATTTGCTGGGACAATTGATTCTCGCGCATTCTGAGGCTGTGCATCCACCCGTGAACTTCGTCACGGCTCTTCATCAGAAGCTGCTCAGTCCTTCGCTCTACAGACACCGCCTGGGCTGCGCGGCTCTGGGAATCCACGCCAACTCGGGCGACGTCTGGCCGGTAAACCTTCATCTCGCCGTCGATAAATCCGCGGTCGAGAACCCGAGCCAGCAGCTCGTCAGTTGCGGCGTTCGAAGGAGCACAGACGAGCATCCGTGGCTTAGGGCAAAGCTTAGGAAGGGTTCGGAATAGATTCTGGTCCATGCTCTGGAGGACCTCGTCTATCGACCCAACTGCTGCATTATCTAACGAAGAAGAGTTGTCGTTGTTGGCCTGCTTGTAGGTTTCGGGTGCGAGTTTCTTTAGGAGTGCAGTGTAGTAGTGCTGATACTGGACGAGATGGATCACGTTAAGCATTCCCCAAACCGTGTGGGTCTTGCCAGTGCCGGGAGGCCCCTGAACTAGCGTGAAAGGCCATGGGTCTTGCTTCTTGGTCACGCCATTCGATGTGCCAGCGGCTGTATGCATAGCGGCCCATTGGATTGCGGCTAGCTGGGGTCCGTTGAAAGTCCTGTGAAGATACTCGACAAAGTTTGGAGTGAAACAATCGGGCATTGCGGGAGGTTGTTCTTCGTATTTCGGGAACTGATCAGGACTAGGCTGCAGAATCGCGTTTTGCATCTGCAAGAGGATAATAATAGGTGAAATGATCATCAGGCGTACGTACATACAATCATGAGGCATGTTTATTATTTTATCAGCTCTGGGGACATATTCTCTAACTGAACCTGTAAGTTAAGACGGCGAAAAGCATGCAAAGCGACATATTCGCGCTGTGTGGTAGCAAGAGAACCAAGCAGAGTTAGGTACCAGACGCCCCCTGGTTGAAGCTTCCGCAGAATATGATCATCACCAATCTTGCTATAGTTTAGACAAACAAAAAAGGAAAAATATAATGACAAGTCTGCAGAACAACAATCCAGACAGAAGAAATCGGGACAAACAACCTTGAACTAATAGCGACGAAGGGCATAAAATCACAGTGCGACTTATTACCTGCTGGAATCGTATACATCCCCAACATAAAAGTGAAGAATCGCCCCAGTATGCTCTCGTGTATCAATGGGTATATGCCTCCTCACTGTCCCAGCAACACGCCCCGTAACTTCCGACTTTTCATCATCTCTAGCCGAGGAACTGCCCCTCCTAATATTGGCTGCATATCATAACGAACAAAGTATGTTAATATATGGCCGATACGAAAACATTCCTAATCAGAGCATAAAAACAAGGAGGGGGCGGGGATAAAAAAAAAAACAAATACTATCAAAGTATTTGTGACCTGTTCCAGGCTTAGGGGATGAAAGAACTGCAACATCTCCTTCTTTAAAATTCCATTTGTATTCATGCGGTGGAATTAGTATCACATCGAACCATCCTAGGGATGCAAACCCAAGTAAGGAAACAGAAAGAAGTAGCAGAAGAGAAAAAAATCCCATGTCTAGTTATCTAATTCCAGAAGTATGAAAAAAATGTAATCTAAACAGGAAACACACATTAGGAGCAGGAACAAATATAACATTTTACACCAACAGAACACAAAATTTGAAGAAATTATCTTAGTAAGAAGTAAGGCAGTCTAGCTGTAAGAAACTCTTCCCACCACGACAAGAGATGGCCTCACAGCAAAAGCATGGAGGACATCAAACTGAAATTATACAAAAACATGAAGTCTCCTTCTGTGACTGGATACGAAAGGATTAAATAGCTTCCCTATAAATCATCTTTTATTTTAGGAGAAAAGAGTAGTTTGTCTCTTGGTCTTCATGAACATACTGATGGATATATTACATTAAGTTAGTGCACAATCAGCTCCAAGTTAACATTCTTACGGAAACGATTCTAGCAAGTCGCTGAAGAGCACATTGCACTCAAGCCGCCTCAATGATTATTCATCACCAATTTAGGATTCTTAAAGTGAACTGCCACATTCATGGAACAGAAAACACTAGGGAGTCTGGGATAGGCAAGTGGGAGTTCATTAACTGAGTATATTAGATTCATAAAACTGAGTACTCCAGGTTAAGCACCTACGGCCATGCAATCAATAATACATCACCAACTGCAGCAAATACAGTAACTGCAAGCAAATGTAAACCTTAATTTTGTGTGCACTGCATCACAAGTAAGATAACCACTACTCAACATGTAAATTAAAAGAACTAAATACTACAATGCTCTGCAGCCAGAAAACTTCTACAGACACCCAACAACGTGTAAACTTATTCTTGTTCTCTCCCATAAGTAACATATTCATAGTCAAAAACAGAAAACCAATATGAAATATATAATACATCACACTTTTGAAGATTTATGGGGAGCAGATATCAGGAATCAGGATAGCACAATTCCCAACTCAGATTAAGATATCAAACAGATGATGAACAAACAAATAGGAACTTCCAGATTGAAGCTTCTCCGTTCTTAAATACTAAAATACAATACAGGGAAACAGATCTAGTATGAAAAGTTGAAGGAACACGTTAATACCCCTTTCACGACGTTCTATGCTTTTTATTCCCACCCTAACATGACTGGAAATGGTTTCAGATGACTCCTCCCAGGTACTGTAAAGCTGTGCACGGCATTCTTCAAACAACAAAGGCTCAAATACCCTGATATACTCCTCTACTGAGTCAAAACGACCAGGAACACGTTGGAGCTCCTCCTCCTCTGTTTTTTGCAGAAATACAAGTATAAATAACTGACCGTCTAACAGCCATCATTATTCTTAAGTCTTAGCGACAAAGAGAATCATCAGGTCAAAGATGCAAACAAAAATATACACTAGGAAAATGGTAGTCACAATATGTACGTGTGGATGGGTGGATGGGTGCGTGTTTATAAAATCCTCAAGGTTCAAGTGTCAGAAAAATGTGCAGAACATTTCCTAACAGCCCACAAAACTCTGTTATCAGACTATGACACGTGATTAAAGGAATCTTATATGGATGTCAATAATAATAAAAGTGGCAGACAAAAATATGAAACACAATTAGATATATGAACCAAATATTTATTACTCTAAATAGTAACGGAACCAGGTCACCCTTATTTTGCGAACCTTCTACATTGTAAATAAGTACCAATGGAAGATGAAGATCCATTCGTCATAAATAAAGCATTCACTGCTGACACAATTAGAATGCTCCTATCATTTAACTAGGTGCAATCAACTTTACTTAGTAACAAAGGAATATACTGAAGCAGACATATTAGTGATACCGAAGAAGCTGAAGATTTCTAGAGTCAAATGCAAAGCCAGAGGTCACTCAGGAGTCAGGAGCAACATAGAATAGCAGCTTTTTAAAACCTCCAGTTATACCACAAGCATAGAACTGTATTAAGGAAAATGATCGTAGATAACTGAGATATGAGCAAATAAAAAGGATAATCAATCTCAGATTATAGTGATAGGTAAGTAGAAGAATAGATCCAGGTGAATATTTTAAGAGAACGACCAGTATGGAAAAGTTCACAAATAAACAGTGTAAAACTCATAAGATCGTGCAAGCAAAGGGAGGAACACAAGTACACTGCTGAAAGAAATCACTGCACTCCCAGTGTCCTAAAAAATGCAAAACAAACTAATCCACAAGCTTATTAAAAACTGAATATTAGACATGGATTAAAGTTTGACATTAACCATAAATAGCCACATAAAATTCCAAATCCAAGACGAAGCCTCAGTTTTGGAGAACAAAAGAAAATCACTACTTATTCCACATACTCCAAAAGAAAACATCTCAAAGAAGCAGAAAAAAAGTTCACTAAATAACATTCATTAAGCAAATAACAAGTAGACAACATAAGTGAATTCAAAATTGTTCTTCTGATGCGTGCATATTCCTCTCAAAATAACATAGCACCGCCTTAAAAGGATGTTCACAAGGAAACAAGAATTTGCACGCTGTAAAGTTAATAAGAATAGAACCCTACAAAAGTAACCTACTCCTGACTACTTTTTTGAGAAGAAAACTTATCAAATGAAGTAAAATTCAAATGTTAAAACATTTTGAAATTAAAGTCTATGTTCCATTTTTTAAACATAAGACAGACTTAATTCTAAGAGTAGAAGAAAATGGGCAAAATTAGAGACACGGAAAGAACAAATAATGCATAACTCAACTAACACAAACAGAAGATGAAGCACTTAGGAGATTTAATTCTTTGGTACCTGGATGATGCCAGAACTTCTCATTTGTCACCTCACGCAGGAGACGCTCCACTGATGAATCTTGATACGGATTGTTTGCTATAGCTTGCTTCTTGGACGGTAGTTTTTTCATGGCTATTTTAGGGTCGGTCGAACTCTGACTGCTAACAGCTGGCCTCTTACCAGAGAATTGTGAATTCTTAAGAGGCCTTGCATCGGGAGGCAGCTTCCATGAACTTTGTCTAGAAACAGGCGGTGCTTGTCCTTCGGAAGAGACATCCATCAAGCTATTCAACCTTCTGAAAGGACCCGAAGGCCCGGAGCTGTTGTCACCAATGCTCTCGGATTTACACTCATTAGACTCCAAATTATATTCTTCACTGCTGGGTATATCGACCTGCTTTGGATCCCTACTTACAACAGGCTGCTGAGTTTGCTTATCTCCGGATTCTGTATTGGGACGAGCTTCTTTAACAGTCCGGGTTACAGTGGGAGCAGGAATCTGCCTTTTGGGAGTTGAAGACTTCAAAGCACCAGCTTGCTTAACGTCTTCTAAATTGAGAAACACGGTCCGCCTACTCCGCTTCTTCCCCAGCATTGCTTCCTTTTGCTGGTCAAACTTAGGACGCTTATTTGCACACTTTAATGCATGATTAGCTTCAATTCCTTTCACTTCCCTTTGTTTGGGCACTGGAGCCACATCTTCCTCGCAATCGGCAGTTATATCAGCTTTCTTGTCACTTGTTTCTGGAATCAGGCTATCATTCTCATTCTTCGCATCACCAACAATACTTTCCATCATCTCAGTCATGCCTTTCTCAAGCAATGGTTTATCGCTTGAAACTTCTTGAACACCACCGCCATTTATTATACCATTATCATCTTCTGAGCCCTCCACATCAGACCATTCACCCTCTTCCTTCTCAATGACCAAAGGAGCATCAACAGGACCAGATTGCAGGCTTGAGGCATCTTTCATATCTATAGCATCACCTGCTATGTGCAATGAGTGAGAATCGGAAAGCATCTTCTTTTCAGCAGCAGAAGTACCAGATCCTGGAACAATGTTTGACCTCACAAAAGGTTGGAAACCAGATACAGAAGAAGCATGGGAAAAAGCATGATTATTTACTATCCCTTGGGGACCAGCAGCTGCCACAAATAAATCAGCTGCTGGAGTACTTGCTGAAGGAATGGCCCTCTTAGGCTGGAAGGAAACAACACCAGCATTATCATCTTCATTCTCTATAGGGGGTTCATTAAGATCAAATAGCACCCTTCCTTTGGAGCCCATTTTCCAAGCAGTTGCATAAAAAAAAAAGAAAAGGCTGGGAAGCACGGACACTGCTCACTAGAGTACCCGTACCAGGTACGGACGCAAGAATACGTATTGAGACCTACCTCAAAGATGTCCTAAAAGAATTAGGGAAAGAAAACAAGAAATAAAAAAATTCTACAAGACACAAGAATCGCCAATCGGGGAAAAAAACAGACAATCGTGCCCGCAAATAACTCTANAAAAGACTTATCCCAGGCGATATCAATTCTCAATAAGATCGGAATAAAACACACACCTCAGAAGCCCAGGCGACAGAACTCTCAATCCAGAGAAGATTAAACAACACACATCTCACAACCCAGTGCGCTGCGCCACTCTTTGATGAATTTCTGTTGCTCCAGATAAAGGTTGTAATCACGTTAAGAATTAAAACTTATAGATTAGGAAATAAAATATTTGCAGTGTGTCGGATTTTTACTGTGAATTGAGGAGATGTGTTGACGGTGGGAGAGGAAGAAAGTATGAAATAATCGTCTCAAATCAGATATTTAACGGGCTTAGCCCTAGCTGCTTGGGCTAGCCCGAAGCCCGGTCCTCACACAAAAGTCCCGATTAATGTGGGCTGTAGCCTATAATACCTACCGTAGTCTTGACGTTTTCCTACTATTTAATAAGTTTTTAAAATTATAATTTAGATGTGAAATATTTTAAATTTAAAAATTATAATAAATATAAAAACTATTAACTTTTAAATGTATTTATAATTTAAATTTATGTGTTTTATAATTTTTAAAGCATGAATAGAATTTCAGATCTACTTTATACATTTCGAAGCAAAAAAAATTGACTCAAAAGATTACAAAACACCAAGTCCTCTAGCCTTCATTATAGTGTTCTTAACGTGAGTTCTACACGTGAGATACAAGAGGTTGCTTCTTGAAAAAGTTCGGATAAAACCAAGAGGTCTTAGGAGAGAAAATCAAGAAGCTTTGAGAGTTCATTTTAGTCGCTCCACCATGACGATTCGGAGAAGGTGTAAAGGTCATACAACAGAAGATCCTAAGGTCTTGTTTTCGCATCCCGATGAATATCTCTACTAATATATATGAAGTTATAAAAGCCCTCTAATGGCGACAAGTGGCTTATTTGTATGACCGACACGTGTTCTATTAGTGAATTACTATTTTTCCTGCAAGAAAAAAAAAATAAAAAAATAAAAAATAAAAAAAAACTTCTAACTGACGTCGTATGGGCTTATGCTTTTTTCTAGTTTTTGGGTCGTGTCTTCTTAGTTTTTTGGTCAAACACGCAATTGTGTTGTGATTGACATCAATTTCACTTTATGTCATTGTACGCAGCTTCTCCGCTTCTCGCGCTTCCTCTCTTCTTCCTTACAATCTCCAATCTTCAGATCTTTGAAAACCAAGAACAAACACATACGCATACCATTATGTGTGTTTACGAGTAGAGAAAATGAAATGAGATTGTGTTGAAACAGTGGGCCTACATGACTCGACAGGAGAAGATGGGTTTGAAGACGACCGATTCATGAAAAGATTGACGACGTTCTGTGGGCAGCACCGGTCAGATCTGGACCAGTCGAGCGACGCGGCCATCCCCACTTCATCATAGTGCTGCAACCGAAAAAATCGCCAGCAAGTGCAAACCATGACCCTCAATGTAACGCCCCGTTTTATTTTAAAGAATTTTTCGAATTTATTTATAAAAATCAGAGTTAAATTTTCGCAAATTCTCAATTTCAAATTTAATTCTCAACGAGCGCTACTTATCTACCAACAACGATTAAACAAAGACAACACATAGATGAAACTTAAACATGCATGACCAAACAACCAAAATAATTTAAAACCAATTTATCTTTTAAGTTCCAAAAGTTCAAACCGACAATAACAAAGCAATCCAAACCAAAGCAGGAAATAGTCAAAGTCAAATGTAACAGTTCAACAAAGTCGTAAGTAGGCGGAAGCATAAGACAATGATAACAAAACAACAAATAACCACCACTCAATCGTCTTCACGCCGCCGCCGCTAGCCATGCTCAACCTACACAGAGGAAGAGAAGACAAGGAGAAAAATAATGGGGGTGAGCAAATCATTATGCTCACCATTATCGCACAGTATGTCCCGCACAGTAAGTCCGAATGTCGTTTCGTAAATGTAGAATATTTCAAGATAATTATATTAGATCCTAAGAAGAAATATGTTTATTAAATTGAAGAAAAACTGTGAGTAAAGGATTTAAATTTTAGAATTTTCAGTTTTACGGTAAACGTTCGTTTTAAGTCCGAATTGAGTTCCGTAAATTGTATTATTCTCGGTTTATTAGCATGATCCAAGACCATATATGAGCATTACTTTTCAGTAAAAGAGTTTTAAAAATCATCCATTTTGAAAGAAAATGCATAAGTAATAAAAAAAGATGATTTTTATTATTTTTATTATTTTGTTCCAAAGATTTTTATATGATGAATGGTGACATTTTTTGAATAATATATGGAATCAATTACATCACATTAAGCACGAAATTTTTGTCATCAATTGGTGAGAATGAGATGAGAAAATCACAACAAAGTTTTGCTAAGTCTTTAAGTTAGCATTTTTTTTCAACAATTGGTGAGAAATTTATTAAACTTGGTGGAATAAGTTTTATCTACCAAAAAGATCATTCATGGCTATGAATAGAGGCCATTTTTGATGATTAATTATGTTTGGATAAGAATACATGTTAATCATAAAATAGTTTATGATTAATTAAGTTTATAAGTTTAAATTGTTTATTTTGTTCATTTCTTCACTCTATTATGATGTCTTGCCAAATTGTGCCTATAAATAGAGGTCTAAAAATCAGAGTTTTCACACCAAAGAAAAGTACCAAAAGATATATATGAGTGTAAGGGAGATAAGTAATAGAAATTGTGAAGAAGTGAAGAATTTAGAAGTGAAGAATCAAGTTACGATACTAGCAAGAAGGAGGTAATTTACTTATCTTAAAGTTTTATGCTTAAGTTCATGTTTTGATAATGAGTTTACATGTTTATAAGTAAGTATATCATGATTTAGAAGTTAAATTTATAATTGATTCTATGAATACAAAGAGTTAAAGTTGTTCAATATCAATTATATGATAAATGTGCTTGATTTGATGAGATGTTGATAAAGATATGAATAAGATAGAAAAGTGTGATTTAAATGAATGATTCTTATGTAAAAGAGGAGTACATGAGAACAAGAATTAAGTGATTTGACAAAGTATAGCTTGAATTATGAATTTTTTAAGTTGAACATGCAAGATGAATTTTATGTTCACTATGACTTTAAATTCTAATAACTTGATGTATATGCATGCTAAAATTATGAAATTTTTATGACATGTCTAATTATGAGTTGAGATTATTACTGTTAAATTTCATGATTTGAAGATGAGAAATGAATGAGTTATGATAATTACAAGGCATATATGTAAAGATGAGTATATATGCAAGAATATTCATGATATGATCAAGTTATTAAAGTGAGATTATTATGATCAATTCTCATATAAGTGATGAGCAATTTGGCAAAGTTTTAGTTTAATATGTTGAGTATATAATCTCATAAAGATTGTATTAAGTATGACATATTAATATCATGATTAAATGTTATGATTAAAAGTTGAAGTATGACTTGAGTTTATTTTCACTTTCAAGTTAATTAAGTGAAATTTAATATAAGCCAATACTTAAAATTTGGGAGATATGATGTATGATGAATTAAGCATTTGATTGAGTAAAAGATTAAGATGAGTTTATAAATCATGTTGATGATGTTGGAAAAAGTTAAGATGCTTGATGACTTAATATTTATTTGAGACATATTAAGCTTATTGAATATCTTTAAGATTCGGGTAAGTAGGAGTTAAATCTTATTGAGTATACGAGCATAGTACTTAGTATATTTGTTTATATTTTTATGTAGCTTGCAGATATAGCTACCCAAGAGCAACACTTACATTTTTCAAAAGTTTTCAAAAGAAGAAAGGTGGGGACCCAGACTGGGTATTACATTGAGTATAATATTGATATCATGTTCGAGGTATGTATACAGTTTAAGTTTATATGCTTGGGATGAGGAGGCATTCAGTTGTCTCAAAGTATATCCTAAGTTCTGATGGAGGCCGCTTGAGTTGCCTTGAGAAATATCCATCAGATTATGCACAAGTATCCGATCAGATATCGGCCAGATTCAGTTTAAGTTACTGGAACAAATTTCCAGTCCAGATATATACCAAAGTGTTAGTGTTATATACTGAAAGCTTAGCTTTGCATGATATTGCACATTTACCCTTTATAAATGAGAATCATCTTAGATTAAACAAGTTCTACGTTCTGTTGTTCTGCACTTAGATAGGGTGGGTCGTCATCGGGCGAACCGAAGATCACTCTATCAGTTACTTGCGAACAAGAATAGTTGTTCACAACCTAGATGGCCATGAACACTCCATCCGAACGGTTGTAGTGTCAACTGTACAGTTTGTCTTGACTGATTAGTTGCACTAGTACATTTATGTATTGAACAGGACCCCGGAGAGGAGAAGTTCATTTCATACTGATCGTCGTAAATGAACTAGGCCTCGGTTAATTATTGCGTTCTCTTAACCCGTAAGATATTAAACAGGCAGATATATAAAATATATATTACTTTGATTCAAATGGGTGAAGTTCAGTTCGCTGGATTAATATTCCTACTGTTTTGGGTAATATTATTATATATAGGATGTGCTGTTAGGATGTTTACGGTCACCATGTGCGTTAGTTTGATGATGTCCCCGGAGTGAGTTCATGAAGGATTGTTATGCTAAACCCTGCAGGTGGATTAAATTCCGGCATAATAAGAATGTGATGAACGAGCGCTAGCTTCGGTGAAATAATAATAAATTAATTAATTCTTGATTGTCAGTAATCGAATTAATTAATGGACATTATATCTTAAACGTGGGGAGGTAAATCGAGTAATTATTATTGGAGTCTCAAATGTAATTTGGGCTAGGGAAAGGGAGTGCAATAATATAATGTTGGTGGCCCATTAATATTATTTAATTAATTAGAGGAGTGGGTTTGGCCCACAGTTAGTCTAATTAATTAAGGAGCCCTTTTCCTAATCTCCTTAGGGTCCCTACTGTAGCTCTATATATACATCATTAAGCTCATGAGAAGAGAATAGAATTCATTCTCACGTGAAACACG